CACATCTGTGTGAAAGATTCATGGGGTTATAAGGGACCTGACAATCACTTTCTTTATTTCCTTCAAGTCTCTGCTCAGATGTCACTTTCCCACTGCCTGCTGGCATTCCTTTTTCCTCCTACCCTGCTGTATTCTTCTCTGAACACTTATCAACTCTGACATGCTATATATTTTACTTATTATTTATTTATTTTTTGGTAGTCTGCTTCCTATTACTAGAATGTAAACTCATGCTGGTGGGAACTTTGTGCTTTATCTATAAGTGCATTCCCAGCCCACAGAAGAGTTCCTGGGCCATACTAGGGTCTCATTTAATACTTGTTGAACCAAATAAGTGCATGAAAGGATCACAGAGAAATCTGACCACTGTGGCACAGACTGAGAAGTAAACAAATACAACCCATAATCTGGGGGCACATGCAGAAAGGCTGGGTCTGAATTGAGGCTCTGGAAATGAAGAGTCAGTCCAGGCCCTGAAGGAATCTACCAAGTAGGGTCTTTAACATGGCTCCTAAATTTCCTTGGATTATTACTGTGTAGGTTTAAAAGAAACTTGATGGAAATTAGATTGAGAGTTAAATATTTTGTGGCTTTCTGAACAGTGATAGAGGCCCTCTGCCATGTATCTGGAAGGTGCCAGGAAAAGTTCCCCACCCAAGGCTACTACTGGAGATCTTGATGGCCTTACCCAGGTCATGCCAACTTTAAATATAAACCAACAGGCAGCCTTACCAATGAGGAGGGCACTGAAGTTGAGGTGTGACTTGTCCAGAGAGATGAGAGGGTCGGTGGCTTTGCCTACCAGCAGGAAAGGGACTGTGATATTGTGTTCAGGGATTAAGAAAGTCCATAATGCTTCTGTGACATCCAGATGGGAAGGTGTGAACTGGAACACAATCTAAGGAGACAATTTGGAACACAGTGATGAGAGGCACTCTGGGGATGCAGAACTCACCCTATTCTTGTGGCCTTCAGAACTCTGGCTTCAATAGCTGCCATCTTTCCCTGCAGAGGTTGCTTAGTATCTGAGGCAGGGAAAGGAATGTAATGCAATGTTTATGTAAAGTAAGGAGGGTGATGCCAGCAACCCCAAGGAAAAACAACAGGTAGCTGTGAGGCACCTGGGAGTCTTCCACTTCCATAGACATCCTCTCTTTGGCACAGCTCCACCTCTCCACCTTTATCTCTAAGTCCCTTATATGTTTTAACTCCTCTCCCTGGCCCAGGGTTGCAGAGAAAGCAGTCGCTCAGTGCCTGGATCGATACCCCACCCAATCCTTCTCGTATGTAAGTCACTCGATAGTAAGCTCCTTGTAAACCATATGGAGTTGCCTGTTTCGTTCTTCAGTCTTAAGATAGTGGGCCTTATACTTTCAGGTCACACTTGGACAGGCACTTCTGTTTGCTTACTCCATGTATATCATGATAGCTGACATTACCAGGTGATTGCTACCTTTCCGCAGTTCTGTAAGGGCATGTAGGTATGGCTGTACCAGCAACATCAATGTCTACTTGTCCTGGACACATGTCCTCCAGAGGGAGCATACCCCACCCACAGCCTCTGCTGGCTAAGTCATGTTTTGTGCCATGTCTTTGTATGCCATGGTTGTACCACAGCTGAATAGACAGAAGAGTCAGCACCCTTCTCAGAGAAAGACAATCCACATGCTTGTCAGCAGCCTGGCACAAAGCACAACAGGACACGATTAGCAGGGCCAATCAGATTTCTCTCTCAGAAGTCTGGAATTAGAAAACGAGTGGCTGGGCCAGCTGGCAGTGGAGCTGATGGTAAAAGATACTATGAGGGTGAGCTGGGCCACGGCATGCCGTAATCCATTTGTCAAGTGAAGTTACAAAGCAACTAATAAATAAATAAATAAAAGGTGAAGAAACTGGTTGGTAGAGGGAGAATGGAGTAGATGGGTAGAGAGAAGCAGAGAGGACTGGAAGGAAAGTCCAATCTCAAAAGCTGCCCCGGGTGCTTTTTCCTTTGAGCTAACTTGAATGAGTCTCTTTGCAACTGACCCATTTAGCCAGAAAGGAACCAGACAGATTAACATGCATGGTACCTGCCAATGCCAGGATGATGCAGGGGAGGTGTTCTGGCCCCTTCTCTATGTCTTCTATAAGTTTGACCCCTGCCCTATACCTCTGTGTAAACATTTAGGACTAAGACACAGGACATGACCCCACTTTTCTGTTTTGTCCTTAGGCCCGGCCAAGTTAAAACACATCAGTGTTCTTTCACTGTTGTCAGCCCCCTGGACAAAGATAACTCTTTACTTCAGGCTACTGTATGAGTCCTAGAGTCCCCAGACATTGGTGTCCAACTCCCCTTTGCTGCTTGAATATCCTCAGCTTTTTTAAAACTGCAAGTACTAGAGCTCTCTGCTTTTCATGGTCAGCCAAGAGAGCTCAGGACTGTCTTGTTCATCAGGCTTGCCATATGGTGGCCACTCGATAAATACTTATTGATTTGATGCACCCTTAGGCAGTTCTCCCTGACTCCACCTACTGTCCATGGCACACTTGCCACGCAGAGATAGCTAGAATGATCTAAGCCTTGGGTTGAGTGGTCCTCACTTGCACAAACCTCAGCTTTCTTCTCAGGGTGGATGAATCCCTTCTTGGTAAGGCACGTGAAGGCTGGAGGGTTCTGGAGACTCTCAGTTTCTTCAGAGATCCAGCAGAAGGAGTAGGTGCTATCGGTCGGGTTCAGGATTGTAAAGGTCCTGACCAAGGGGGAAGAATTGACAGCAGAGAGTGAGAGAGGGATTGAGGATTAAGAGAAATTTCTTAGAACCTGGCCCTGGTGCAGTTCCCCATCTGGGAACCAGAACTGTTCAGGGAACGTCACTACTGTAGAAATGAAAACTCCATCTCATCTGGGGATCCAAACTATGGCTTGGGTTCTGGACTTTGGAGAGAGTGCTGCCAAGGGCACATCGGTCCCATGGATTTTCTGTGGTCAAGGTGGTGGACAGGGATTATACTTTTATGCCTTCCAAATTTTCCCAGTGTCAAAACTAAATTGACAGGATCAATTCCCTAAATGTAATGGTTCTCCAAAGTCAAACCTCTAAAACTCAGGTCAAACCCCAGGACATCAAGCCTGCTTCTAATAATCAGTCTAGCTTGTTTCTCTGAATTCCTCCTTTGAGTTTTTTAGAACGATTGACTGATATGAATTCAACCAATGCAAACCAAAGCAACTCACCGGAGATTCTTCCCTCCTATGCCCACAGTTGTGAACTCAATCACCCGGGTGTTTGGATCCAGAGTCCCACTGCTAGACCCTCGGAGCTCTGGGTTGCGCCGATAACCGCTGATGTAGTCTGAGTCTTTCAGGTCAAAATGACAAAATGGCAACAAGCTCCGCCCTTTTGCTACCAGGACTGGACCTTGCTCTCCAGGTGGCAGGTTGGGAATCCTGAGAGAATAAGGTTATTTTTATTTACGTTTTATTTTGTAAGCAGTGTTGCTTTCTTAGTTGATTGGAAATGAATATTATATCTACTAGAATGTGAGCTCCATGGGAGCAGAGGCTGGGTCTGTCTTGGTCAACAACATTACCTCAGTGCCTTGAATGGTGCATGATGCATAGTAGGTATTCATGAATTAATTACTGAATGGATGCATGCATGAATGGGCTGAGTATGAAGAGCCCGAATTTGGGTTCCTTCTGTGTACCTAAGTATGGCTGCAAGTTACTTCCTCCATCAGTGGTAAGAAAAGTCCCTGCTGTAAGATGAGCACAGTCTTACCCTTTGGGTCCTTTCATAGGCATTTAGTGGGGTAAAAAAGTGGCCTGGAAATCCCAAAAAAGTATCCTGAGCTCCTTGGAGAAGGTGAAGCAGATGTGGGCAGACTCCCAGCCCCAGGACCAAGCTGAGGTGGCCCAGGTATAGGAGGGATCTCCATGGTGTGATTGCAGGGGTTCCAGAAAGTTTTGACAGCTCACATAGGTCTTTGCAACCCTAGGCCATGGTTCACAGTATTCTTCTGTGAGGTGAGTGTTCTCCTTGGAGCTTCCCTGGGAGTGAGCACCACGTCAGGCACTTTCATCATCAGATGTCATTGGATTAGCTTTTCTATCACTGGGTCTGGGCACCATGTATTTCTCACCTACTGTGTACTAGATCCACCACCTTCCACCACTGCCCAATACTTATTATGCTTATTGTATGCTAGGCACTGTTCTAAGTTCTTTACTTGAATTAATTCATTTAATCTTCTCAACAATTCTACAAAGTAGGTGGTGTTATTTGCATTTTGTACATGAGAAAACTGAGTCCTAGAGAAGGCACAAGAAAGCGTGCTCAAATTCATGCTTGAGAAAGGACTGGAACCCACCTGGCTGTCAACTATTCTGTTGCTTAGTGGAATCCTATAATGCCAGGAAGGGGGCACTGGGGAGCGTCTGGAAAGGATTGATTAATAGGACAAAACCCAAACTCCCCCTGTTCTCCAAAAGCTGGCCCCTTTCAATCTTCCAAAGAGAAAAATTGACCATTTGGGGCTGTGGAGGGGTCTAGAGTTGGAAAGAATGGTGACAGACATGGGACACAAGAGGTGATCAGAGCTGCAGAGCTTTGCCCTGCAAAGATGGGGGTTCGGGAGAACATTTCCTTACTGGCAGAAAAGTTTGCTCTCGAAGTCTCCAATGTCCAGTGGGGAGAATTTCACTTTGAGTTTCTGAGTCTTCCGCACAGGCACGATGCCTGCAGAAGGCTCCACAGAGAAGGGTGGTGGGGAGCCATTGGTCCAGTGGTCCAGGGCGCTGTCTAGAGTGCTTCCCGTATGCAGGGTGCCCTGGCTAAGCTGATCTTTTTGAGTGGAACCTGGGGGCAAACAGAGAGTGGGTCTGCATTTGCTGTGAAAGAGTGGGTTTACAATCTGGGGGGCCATAGATAAGGGCCTATTTGAAAGGTCTGTGAATCTTCAAAATTGTAATAATAACAATAATAATAAATATTTGCCTATCAAGTGTTGGACCCTTTTCTAGTGCTTCATATGTATCAACTGCAAACTTGGGTATGGGTGTATATTTTCTTGGGAAACGGTTCATAGCTTTCATTAGTTTCTCCAAGGGGTCTGTAATCTCTCAGAAGGTTAAGACTTAAAAGACAAGATTCCTAGAGACCTGTGGGGGGCCAGAGCCCAGACTCCAGGAGGGCAGAGGTTAGCTCCTGAGTCTCTCAGGCCCATTTGGCTCTGTAGACACCACGACGTCTCTGCTGTACTTTTTCTGAGTCATGTGGGAAGCTGTCTGAGCAGTGCTGGCTTCTCAAGCAAGTTTCTTCTACTCACTG